GACATATTCCAGTTGGGGGTTTTATCTCCTGCTTTCAGGAAGAAAAAGGGGAGGTCAGAAGGCCCTTCTTATACCTGCTGTGTGTCAGGTGCCTCAAGCTAAAAATAATCCTTAAGCCAAAGTGGCATCTTTTGGGATGGCATATTATGCCACCCTTCGGGGGCATTGTCTCTTACTAAGTACCCGGTGAAGGGGTTCAGAACAAGTCTCCCTAGAATGTCACTTTAGCATGCGGACTGTTTTGAGCTGAAGACAATCATGGCCCAAAAGACTCAGAGCTTTTTTTTTTTAACCTTCCCCTTAACTGCCTAAAAGAATTTAGATAGGGGGCCTGGTCCTGGAAGAGAACTCACTACTGATAACCACAGAGAGTATGGGCTAGGTGTAGTGGGCTTGGGGGCAGTTTGGCAGTGCCTGGAGATCAGAGTCCTCTCTGTGTCCTGTGGTCTCTGCGTGACATGGCAAACATATGTTTAGCAAACATTTGCTCTTCCCATCGTCTATAAATTGTCTTCCGCCCCTTTGGAGTCTCAGACCTTTACCCCCTTCTCTTCATCTCAGGATGGCATATAAGCCTCAGTTGCCTGACTGCCTATCATTCTCACATTCTTATGGGGCCCCTGTACAGTACACAATTAAGTTGTTTTTCTCATGTTAATCTGTCTTATGTCAATTTGATTATTAGAACCTAGGAGAAGTACAAGTTATCCTCCCCTGCACTGCCCCGCTAGACCTACAGCTTCTGCATCGCCCTTTGTTCCACCTTTTATTTGTCTAGATACATGAAAATACATGAGTTCTTTTTTGTTTTGTTAAGCTACTGTTTCCTCATCTGTAAATGGAAATAATAATCTTGTCTGATAGGATTGTGAACATGATATAGACAAATGATATAGACAAATCAGGTGATGTACTTAGAAGGGGTTCAGTAAATCTTATTGTGGGAGGAAACATAATTTTCCTCTACCTTTCTAGGTTCTTGGCCGAGCTCTCCCCTCACCCCATAATAAAAAGACATTAGCAGGAGAGAAACAAACAGAAATTTAATAACGTGCACACCTCCTGTATACATGGAGAGACCCAGGAAAACTGAGTAACTTTAAATATCGTCTCGTTAAAGACAGCTGTTGGAGAAGGGGGAGCAATTATGGGAGGTTACCAGGGAAAAAAGCACCCGTAAACAAGGGTAAGGTTGTTATGCAGATTTAAGTCTTTCCCTTCTACGTTGAGCAGAGTTTCTAGAGATCACGAGTCATCCTTTTCTTCCTAGTGAGAGGAAACACAAATGGAGATTTCTTTTATAAATGTTTCTTACAAAAGGTTATTGGCGTGGTATATTTTGCTCCTCTTCATTATCTACAATGAAGCAAATGGGTTGCTGCTTTAGTTACTGTTCTCTTTCTAGTTTGATACCTTTGTTTAGAAGTACAGTTGAGCCTTGAATCACGTGGGTTTGAATGCTCCACCTATATGCAGTTTTTTTCAGTTGACCCACGTGGTTCATTTGACTCCCAAAGTTCAGTTGACCCTCACAGTTTGAACCCACATTGTTCGAGGGTCAGCTGGTAGTTGGGAATCTGTGCATGCCGAGGGTTGACTTAAGCTATATGTGGATTTTCAACTGCGCAGGTGGTTGGAGCCCCTCACCCCCATGTTGTTGTTCAAGAGTCGACTGTAACTGCAATCAGGATAATCTGTATTTAAGAAACATCTAGGAGAGAAAAAAAGCCTTGGCTTGCACTTTTGACAATTTGAGGTGACTTTTCCTGCAGCTGGAGTTGGCAGGGCTAATGTGCTCCAGCTGAGAAGCCTTGCTGTTACCTTCTGGCAGCCCCATATGCAGATACTGTTATATTAATTACAAAAGAAAACCTGATTAACTCAGAAGTCCTTTAACTGTCAGGGAGACAGCTGCTCCAGCGCTGGAACAGGTTTTCTTCCTTCCTCCTCCTGTCAGTCTGCAGTTTTTCATCTTTTTAGAGAACTGCTAACACTGCGCTGTAGGTCCTCAGCCCCTGGCTGGTTCAGTCACCTTTTTGATCTGCAGTTATAGTTGGCCAGGGAGAGCTCGCATAATTAAATTCACATGTAATTTAAAATAAAAACAACCAGACTAACCACCCATTCCTCTCGATTATTTTTCCTTCAGCAGTTGAAACCTGATGGAATCCTGGAATTTTAGAACTGGAAGGGATGTTAAAGATGATCTAATTCAACTCCCTTAGTTCACAGATGAGAAATGCAAGGCTGAAGAAAATCAAGTGAATTGCTAAAGTCATAGGGCTTGTCTGCAGTGAAGCCTGGGATCAGAGAATCTCCCTCCTCCCCGGTGCTGCTCCCGCTTCGAAGCTGCAATCCTCCCCTCACCGAACCGTGACCCATCTGACGAGAGAAGCAAGGAGTGAAACAGTCTAGTTTCACCTTCATTTCTCTCCATGCCCTTGTTCAAATCCTGTAGGCATGTTGGAGATCAGTTATAAAGCTAAAAATGAATGGGCGAAGCAAAGGGCTTAGGTAATGAGGTATTGCAAAAGCAGATGGCAGTATCCATATTGAAGGCCGTTCTTCCATGCAACAGGTTACACGAAGAACCCTAACAGTGCACGGAAACAAAAACCAAGACTGGGCTCTGTGTCAACCCCCTCTCCCATTGCACTGGTCTATGGTGGTTTGATGCTAGCGGGTTTATTTGTAGTGACTGTTTTTGTCACTGCAGAGACAGGGGTGTGTGGTAATTTGGGTCAGATGAATAATGGGTGTGTCTGCTGTGGTTTTGGCTCACGCAGAGCATGTTCTACTGACTTTCCTGTAGTTGACATTGTCTCGGAGATGTTGAGATCTCCCTCTGGTCCTGCAAAATGGTTAGTTGGTTTTAATTATCTATTATCTACTCTCCTAGCAGCAGCAGTAAGAAAGCTCATTTAGATTTTTTGCTTTTATTATATACTAACTTTTGTTATAAAAGTTTGTACAAACCGGGAAAAGAGGAAAAGAAGTGTAGATGAGAGTGAATCTAATTGGACTTCTCGCTGCTCAGGCTGAGATGATGGTGGTTAAATTCTGCAAGGTGACCGCAGAGGTTCTCTTCTGTTGTCTACATCGACTCCAGGCTGAGATGGAGGTTTTTAGGAATGACAGTTTCTAAATGATTCATCATGATACTGGACTATTCTGAGTACTTTTTGAAACACTTACAGCTTTCTGTAGACAGTTCTCCACAATAAAAGGATTCTTACACAGAGCAAACAAGTGTGTAACATAAAGTACTTACTATGTTTTAGTCATCGTGTTGGGGGTTTCGATAATTATAACTAGAATGGACTGTGGTGGTGTTGTGAACAAGATATGAAGGAACTCAGGACTAGCCCATTGCTGCTTGCTAAGTGGTCACACAAGAAATTGGCTATGTCCCATTCCTTTTGATTATAGGTCAAAGATTAGATCTGCGGTCTGGCATTTTACTCTTGTGCTTAGTAAATACCTTGTACGGAATTAGGCACTCAGTTAATGCTCTCTGCTTTTTCAAAGCAATCTATCTCTTCCCCAGGAGAGTAGATTTTCTTGTTCTAGGTTCTGGTGTTGCTGATGTGCATGTGCAGGCCAGGTGATGTACTTAGAGACAGACCTGAGAGGAAGGGCTTCATGAAATGCATCGAGGGGTCTAGGTGAAAGCAGACTACTTTAAACCTTTTGGTGGTGCCATTTCATTTGTGGAAGAGAAGGGTTTGAGGATTTGAAAGAGTAGGTTTGTGGTAGGATAGGTACAGTCTGAAGTACAGCAACCTCTTAAATGATTCAGGCCTCTCTTGCTTCATTTATAGGAACAAAATAAACAGCTTAGGAATGGTTTAATGCAACTCATGGTTAAGTGACTAAAGCTAATACCATTTCAATTGGTGCCATCCCAAATTTCAGTTAACGTGTATGTAAGATCGGCATACTTACAGCCTAAGAACCATGTGTCTGTGCCTTTCTGAACAAACTCAAGGGTTACCTGAATCATGGACATGGGCAGGCACTGACACTGAATATGTAGAATAATCAAGTTCAGAATCTTGAGAGTTTCAGTCAACTAATTTCTGGTTCCTTTTCCCAAACATAGGTTCTCATACTTTAGGAAGCCTCTTGTTCTCTGAATACTATTTGACATGTTCGAGGAAGTTAGCCATTTAGGAGTGTGGTTGTCCTGAATTAATGTTTTCGAGCTAGATCACATCTCTTCCTAGACTTCCTGGATTTTATCCTAACAGTCAGTTCTTTCCTTTTCTCTTATTCAGGGTTTTGTCATCCCTATACTGAAGGATGTGATTTGATGAAGTGATATTGATCCTAATTGAGCACCCAGTGCTTTAAGAAAACACTGATGACTTGGCAGCTGAGATGCTGTCATTGGCTATCAGAGAGATGGACCAGAAAGATTCTAGAGCTTATGCAAACTTGAATAACTTTTTATTTAGATATGTGTGTATTTAAAGATTAGCTCATACATTTAGTTATAAAATGTCATAAATGAGGAAAATAACAAGCTATAACTTCATTTGGTAGTGACATTTAAGAAGGCCTTTTGTTACAAGGAAGGTGTTCATTTTGACATATTCAGGTATAGTTTCATCTTGGATTCACATCCCAGTTAGTGTAGCCTTTTCTGGCTTTGTCAGTTTAATGATCTTGTGATTGCGATTTAGTCCTCATAAACTCCTTAGGCTGTCCTTCCACTGGATCAGAGAGGAGTGGGGAGGGTAGATCAGGTCACTGCCACCTTTCTGGATAGAAACAGCCGCTCTGGGGATGAGCCAGGGAGGGGAATTCTTTTTGATATTTGAGGAGCCTTTTCTGACTGGGATGTTTTCCTGATAACTCCTTCAACCAAGGACTTCCTAGAAATTTCTTCTCTAGGACCCTGACATTCTAATGGGGTCTCGGTGTGAGTCTTTCTCTACCCCTCCTCACTCTTCTTTCTGTCCTCCTTTCTCTTTCTCCACCCTCCTTTCCCCAACCAGGCCAGCTGAGCTGCATTTCCTTCCCACCTAAGGAAGAGAAGTACCTTCAGCAGATTGTGGACTGCCTCCCCTGCATCTTGATCCTCGGCCAGGATTGTAATGTCAAGTGCCAGCTATTGAACCTGCTTTTGGGGGTGCAGGTACTTCCTACCACCAAGCTGGGCAATGAGGAGAGCTGTAAGCTTCGGCGCCTCCACTTCACCTATGGGACTCAGACTCGGGTCAGCCTGGCGCTCCCCGGCCAATATGAACCAGTCTCCACGCTGGTTGCTCACCAGGGCACCTGGGAGACCATCCCTGAGGAGGACCTGGAGGTCCAAGAGGACAGTGAGGATGCTGCCCATGTTTTAGCCGAACTGGAGGTGACGATGCACCATGCTCTCTTACAGGTACCAATCTCATACTTATATGGTTGTACACACATACTAGCTTTTCTTGTATTTGAGGTTTTCAGAAGGTAATTTGGCAATACATACCCTGTGAGCATCAGCTGATGGAGTCAAAGGAACATAATCTAGGAAGTTGAAAACAGACAAGGTTGTAGCAGTGCCCATCCCTGCCTCTGCTACCATGCTGGGAGGCCCTGAATAATTGGCTTGTTCCTTGCCTCCTGTCTCCCTTTCTAAAATAAAGGAATGTGATCCTGGCATCTCAACTTGCTTTTACAGAGTAATTATGATCAGGGTTAGAAATCCTTTTTCCTTTCTTAACAGGAAGGTGTTGCTGGAATTGCCTCTAGCCATCTTCTTCCAAAAGGAACAATAAGATGTTGGCTAATTAATGTTCTTAATAGAGTTAGGGCCAAGTGAAGCATTTCATGAGGATTTCCTTAGACCTAGCTATTACTTGCTAAGTGGGACAGATCAGGTTTCCTACTTTCTAAGGAACTTGGGAATATTGAGAACAGGTCTGAGACAATGTTACAAGATAAGGAGATCCTAGCTCATGAGGAATATCTTTGCTTCTCTCTTGAAGTAAATTCCCAGAGAGCACAGGTCTTATGGCATGTCCAAAGAGTTTATATTGCTCGTTTGGTATTCCTGTCTCCAATTAGGGAGGACTCACCTCTTGTGCTGGTCTTCCTTTCCTGAAGCATAGATAGGGCTGGGCTATTAGATTAGGCTGAATGGGAATCGACAAAGGGTGCGACTATACCAGGGGTCAGGAGTGGGTAGGAGTAAAAAATGCAAAGTCCATCACCTTGGTTAGCTGTGCCAGGAAGGAAGAGCTAGTTTGGCAGGACTAGGAGAGTGGTTTCTTTTTTCTTACAACCTCTTCACCTACCCTTGTTCTAAAAGGTTTAGTCTCCCAGATAGTGAATAAGTCCTTTGGTTGTGGCCATGGTCTGTGATATTCTAGAAGTAGAAACTGTCATTTCCTTCCAGAGTCCAGATTTCTTTTATTTTGATAAAAGCTAGAGGGGGGCTATGTATATAAATCAGCATTTTTTTCTCAGCTCAGTTTCAGTGGTGGCTTTCCTCTGTTTTAAGACCTAAAGGTTGCACTGCTTGGTTCCAGGATGCCGTGAGAGTTTTTCAATAACTGATAGTAATCCGTGTGTATTGACTGAGGCTCCTCAGTTGACCCATGAGCTTTTTCACAGTCATGAGTATTTGATCCATACATAATCTGGCTGTGGCATACTGCCTTGGTCTAGTTCCTTCAAGTTTTCAGTAGCTCAGTGGTTTTCAAACTTTTAGATTTTAAATCACTTTAAGAAATACATTTTATAACAGAACCCAGTACATATATACACATGTACATTTAAAGTTTCACGAAGCAATATTTTTACTTCTTTCAAGACATACTGATACTTTTATTTTTATTCTGTTTGTCTTAATTTTTTAAAAATGGTGGTAGCAGCTATATTGATGCTATAGCCATTGTGACCTACAGCTCAAAAAACACTGTTAAATATGTGAAATGACTGCTGTAAGTTGGGTGGTGATTTTTCCTGTTCTTGCCTTTAAAAACAATCTCAGAGTGTGAACTAAACCATCTGCAGGAGAGGCAAATTATTTATTTGATTTCTCTGTATCCCTTCATTTTATTGGTTTTCCATCTTCGATGCTCATTTACTTTTGTTCCTTGAATTGTGGTGATACAAGGAAGGAAAGTGAGAGCCTTTCCCCAAGTGCATCTCTGCACATCTCTGAGGGTTCCCGGTGCCTGCCCCTGAGGCATGCTCAGCACTCAAGCAGAGGTAACAGTTGGGGCTACCTGGTTGGAAAGTTGAGCTACCAAATCAGCCTTCTCTCCACACAGTTGAAATATATATTCTCTTTCTTGAGTAATATTTTTCTCTTGAGGAATTCTCTAGCCTCTTGTTTGTATTTCATGTGGTTTCTGAGGTTTCCTTAGCCACTGTTTCTCCGGATCTGCTTTATTCTCCAATGGTTTTGATGTAGAAATAGCAACGAACCCCAGCGTTTCAAAGTTTAGAACCCTTTGCTGCTGAGCCTCAGAGGGGCCTTAGCCTTTGTGGAACAGAGGCCCAGTTCTGCCACTGCAGTCAGGCGCCTGTCTCCATTAATACATTAATTGCTCAGCTCACAGCTGGGAACATTTCACAGCTACCTTGAAGATTTTTCGTGCCAGTGAGAAAGATCTTTTTGTTTAGCTCTGTTATATTTAGAACCAGTGAGTTAGTCTAAACAGCCCTTCCATTTGGTGTGTAAAAGGGGTGGTAAAGAAAGGAAACATTTAGCTAAAGGAAACCAAGATTGAATTAGGGGAAATGAGAGATGTTCATTTTCAACTGTCAGATTTTCCCACATAAGCCAATACATGTGAACCCGTAGTGCTTGGTATTCCCAGCTTTTTAGTTCTGGGTCCCCTGAGATTCCGAGTTTATAATTCAGAGTAGAGGAACTCTGTTAAGCTGGTAGTTTCTGAAACCTCGTATAGGGTTAAAACATAGACATTTTCCAGTTGGCAACACATTTCACCATTCGCCTTATTTGCTAATTCTGTCTTCATGTACAGACACACTTCCCCACCCTCACCCCCTTTCTGGCACTTAACATCTACCGCCTCCTTTTCTCTTTCTTTTCTTCTTTTTTTTTTTAAATTAAGTTTATTGGGGTAACATTGGTTAATACAATTATATAATTTTCAGGTGTACATTATCATTTGACATCTGTATATTCTCTTGTGCGTTTACCACCCAAAGTCCAGTTTCCTTCAGCTACCATATATTTGATCCCCTTTACCCCCTTCACCCTCCCCTATCCCCCTATATTTGACTCCTTTTACCCTGTCCATCTTTTCTTCTTAGAAGTCCAGTGGAACACAATCGTCTGCCTCAGAGTTGCCCAGTCTGAGTTGTGTGGTGTGTGTTACGTATCTGTATTTTCCCTATGAACACCTGTAAGGAAAGGAATAGAAAGCAGCAGGGGTGATTATACTTCCTTAGTTTGAGCCGGGATTCCTGTAACCCAGCAGTGGCATTTTATTGACTGTGGCCGTTCCATAGCTCTCAGTTGTTCTGCTCTTATCAATAGCCTGTTCGTCCCCACCAGGCCCTTTGGACAAAATGTATGTGTCACCTGGTAGCCAGACTGCCGCCTGCTGGCATGGTTTTTGGCTCACGGTAATGTATGGTAGATACATATTTCAGGGAACTGAGGTCAACTAATGTTTCCAGGCAAGGTCCGATGACTTGCAAATAAATTTTTTTTTCTTTTCTTTTTTCTTTTCTTTTCTTTTTTTTTTTTTTTACTATTTTTAACTCTAACCAGTTGGAGTAGTAAAGTTTTCTCTTTATAACCCTCAGTCAATAGCTTTCAATGGAAATAATTCATTTTAAATGTCATTCAGACATTGATAGTTTTAATTTCTCAGCAGTTAATATTTTCACAAGCCAAAATCATGATAAAGGATCCTACTAAAAATGACAAAAAGTTATGCAGATTTTAACCTCAAAATTTATTAAACATTGTTTGTTCCTAGAGACTAGCTTTTCTCAACTTTTGTCTAGTTATTGGCATTTATTACGGCACCTTATAAAATTAAATTTGTTATGTATTTTATTTTTATTTATTTTTTTATTAAGTTTTTTTTTAAATTAAGTTTATTGGGTATCATTGGTTAATACAGTTATATAATTTTAAGGTGTACATTATAATTTAACATCTGTATATTCTATTGTGTGATGTGTTACTTTTAGTTAGATATCATATCTTCTCTTGAATGTATCTAGATTGAGAGGTAATGTTCGATTGGTAAAAAGTAGGAAAAAAGACTGGGTGAGGGTCCTCAGGGCAAGACGATACTGTTGGGGGGAGAGGGTAAATGGAATTTGGCCAAAAATGGCTATTCCAAGGGAAAAGAAACAAAGTTGGGGTAACATGTGTAAGAGAAAAAGAATGATATTCTAGAGATATTAAAAATAAGGTAACCATGATTTTATGGGGCAAAAAAGAAAGGGAATAAAGTGATATGTTAAAAAAGGATGTGAGAGGTTCAGGCAAATGCTAAATTATACATTTGTTTCTAAGCAGTAATTCTGTATTCTTTGAATTTTACATCTCTCTTGCCTTTCCCCTAACCCACTAATATACATAGTGAACTGTAACCATCCTGTGTACATTGCTCTTTTCCAAGAAACCTGGGAATATCTGCTATAGGTTGATTTACCTATTAAGTATGTGTGTAGTTTAGAGGCAAGATTAAAAAAATAAAATCCCTATACTCGCTAGAGAAGCCTTGATATCTTTTAAGAACAGCTTGAAACTGAGGCTGTATTTTCTCAATTCACCACCATTAATTAATTTTAGGTCTTCCAAGGTTAGCTCTTTGGTAGAAAATCTGGCAGAGATTGTACTCTTAATCTTCCTCTTTTGCCTTGGGATTCTACCTCTTTTCTGCACCAAATGGCTTCCCTCTCTGTTTTCACTTTCTCAGATCTGTTGGCCTTTCCCTTCGAGTAGAAGATGGTGGGGATAGAAATCTTGCCCAGTTCAGAGACTCAGCAGTTGAAAGTCCTGTCAACAGGCAAACACTGGTGTTGGGGCTATGAAAATATTTTCTTTTGACATCTTTTATGGTCTCTCACCCAATCCTTGCAGGATAATTTCATAGCAGGGCCTTTACTTTGTGGCCAACATATACTTTTTAACGTAGAACACAAGGATTGTTAGGATCCCCGAAATCATCATGTCCAACCTTTATTCTTCTTTCAGAACTTCCCTAACAGATAGTTCCTGACACACAGTGGGCCTCCAGTTACTGTTTAAAAATGGTCTTTGTAGTCAGGCTGGCCTTGATTTACATCCTGGCTTTGTCACTTAACTGACTGTGTGGTGTTCAGTTCCCTCATTTGTAAGATGGGGGTAGTAATCCATATCTTTTAGTACTGGTGTGAGGCTTAAATGAGAGGGTATGTGTAAAGCACCTAGTGTAGTGTCTGGCACATAGTCAGCCAGTTCTCTCCTTTCTTTGTATGTATTGATCATTGTCCTTGAGAAAGGATTTCTTTCTCTCTCAGTCACCCATCCCTTCCCTGACAACCATCCCTGTTGCTTCCTTTTGTCAAACTTAAGTCTCTCTGGTTCCATTTTTACTTAGAGTTATTCTGCTCTAGTTAGAAACAAAGTTCTTCATAATTCATTAGAAAGTACTTCTGTAATAAAATGAAAGATGTTATAAAAAGGTAACACAAAAGTTAAAGTTCTGAAGTTAAAAGATAAAGTCTTTTCTCTTCATTCTTCTCTCTCTCAAATCTAGTAAGTGGTAAGAGACTAAAGCTTCAGATTTCTGCTTTTATCTGTATCCGTGGGTACCTGGGTGTTTCAATATCTACACGTAGAATGCATAGAATCTACTCAGTACATTCTTGTCAACTTGTCTGTTGCCTTATTCATCCAAGTATGAAACATAGAGAAGATAGTTCCAGTTCTTAAAGGCTTCATGCTTATGAGTTGAGATGTAGAGCCTTTGTTTGGGGATGTCGAGGATTATAAATATATTTCTACTTTCAGCATGATGGTCTCATGCTTTCTATGACTAGCTTGGGGCTCTGGTTGGGATTGTGCTTTTTCCAAGTCTTGTTTCTGGCCTCTGAGTTGCTATACTGATACTTTAACTAAGTAGAGAAATGAGTTTATATCAGCCTCTGAGTTATAACACTGATAATTTTACTAAGTAGGGAAATGATAGGATGCTCTCATGATTCCCTGAGATTCTTATTCCTTGATTGAATTAGGAGCACCATGCTTAATTACTCACTGCTTCATTCTTGGAATAGAGGCAGACAGCAAGCAATTCTAGATAAATGTGTGGACTATGGGTTAAAAGACAGAAAATTTTACATGTGATTATTGAAAGTGGTTTCGAGCAAGTAATAAAAGCATCATTTATTCATCCATTCATTTCACATTTACTTATTAAATGCTCACTTAAGTGCCAGGCACTGTTCTCTGAGCTGGGAAGGAATATAGTCTGCGGTCCCATTTTCCTCAAATGGCTATAATAGAGCCCAGAACAGGTCTGGCTCATCCCCTATCAATCATTATTTTTTTTACTCCCTGTCTCCATGAGACAGTGCTGGTTCCCTTTTTGTTTATAACTGTCAAGTATGAGTCATCCCTTCACTGTAAGTATTGCAGAGTCACATATTACATTCCAGTCTAATTTATATTGCTGCCTGAAGCCCAGCCAGCAGCTCTTTTTGTCTGTCGTCTAGAAGTCATGATAGAACAATGAGACCGTCTGCACAAGTTAATTAATTGGGGAATGGAGAGAGCACAGTACTTGTTTTCTATACATTTTTGTTTAATACAAGATATATTTAGGAGTGGATAACTTCTTTCTAGATGCCATATATCAGGAAATATCTACTATTAGAAATCCCTGAATCCATTTTTTTTAAAAATGAATTTGCACTTATGAGCAGATAAAGTCACCTGTGTCTTAGAAAGGGTATTGTTATACAGATGGACTTGTCAGCTTTGGCCGATAGTTCCATTGCACACAAAATGATCCTTGAGGAAAACCTGGATATTTATTTTAAACTTTTAAGAAAAAAATCCATCAACTAAATAAGCAAACAAAAATTCTTACTGAAAATTTTCTAAAGAACACTTACTTTGATTTTGCATAGTCTTTTTTCCCCCATAATATTCCTGTAATACGTTTGACATATCTTTGGATATATTTTTTTTAAATGCATATATTTAAAACATTTGCTATTTTAAGGTAAATATTTTTAAGAACATTTTCATTTATAATTCTCTACCATATTATAACTTTTCATTTCTTGGGATCCTCTTCTAGTCTTTTTCTTATTATTATATGTAATTATAATGTTAGCATTTAGGCAATTGTATGTTCTACTCTAAACCTTAGGAGTTCTTACCCACTTTTTGAATGTGCCACATGAAGTGATTCATACTCTAGCAGTGTGACTCAGGGTAGTGAAAGAGGGTTTGTTTTGAATAGCAAGATGAGTGTCAGACTAGTCTTTCAATCAGAAAAAGTTTGGTGCAATTCGAGGCACAGATGAAACAGCAGATTTCTTCTTGGCTTTAGCTTGGATGGGAAATAGGTGGATTTATGCAGCATTTGCTCAAATACAAATGGTGAGATGCTAAAAGCACTTTTAGCTTTAGGGAGTTCAAAGTGGCCAGCCAAATGACACTTATGTGACCTACCTGAGAATATTAGCACTTTGTTGGGGAAGAAGGTGAGACCTTTGTGCTTTGCTGGAAATGGGAAAGGTGCTCCCCCGCCACCTCCCCTGACCCCCGCCACACGCACACAGAGTACCGGAAACGATAGAGAAGATGTCCTAGGTTTTGATTTTTTAAAATCTATCCTCAGAAATATGTCTTGCACAAATAAGGTAAGGAATGAAAACAGTATTAATCTGAAAGAAAATAAGCAAATTATGTATCTTTTAGATTTCAAATAAAGTAAAATTTCAACATCTGGTAACTATTAAGGACACAGACTTAAGGAGATTTGTGTCGAGTTCTTTTATAACTGTAAAATGTGCTAGAATTTTGTGGAGGATTGATTTTTGAATTTGCAGACCCCTGAAGACATTGGGAGTTGGTGTGCCTATGATGGTGATAGAGGCGTGAGTCTCCAGGTCAACCCTTAGATCTGGAATGCCAGGCACAGTAGAGTTTGAGCTGTAGAGGAGCAGCATATGCAGTAGATGGAAATATATGTTCTTAAGTGTGACAAGATCTTCAGGAAAGAAGTAAAACACAAAGCAGAAACTACTGGCAAGAACAAGGACCTGTCGAAGACTTGTTTCTAAACCAAAGATCATTCTTGGGACTCACTTTAGGAACTTGCATGTGATCGGGTTCAATTACATGTAAGAGACAGTCGAAAGCAGAGGCTTGTTTGAACAAGACACAGGTTATCTGAAGCTAGGCATTTGAGGGCTGACGTGGCTGCCCTGGGGTCATCAGGTTTCCAGGGTCCTTATTTATTTATGCTTCATCATCCTTAGCTCTGGCCTCCACCCTGAGGTTTGCTTTAGAGCTGCTGGATGACCACTGCTCGAGATGTCACATCTGTGCTCCAGGCAAGAAGGGCAGGGTCAAAGGGTATACTTCTTGGAAGACTCAAATCCTCTCCCGGAAGCTTCCTGTACTTATTGGCCATGTCTGTAGCGGACATTGCCTTCCCAATAATGCAGAGGCTAAATATTGGCTAGGCAAACCTTAGTCTCTGCCATACCAAGTGATCTTGAGAATAAAGGTATTGCCAAGGCTTTGGTGGCTAAGACTCAGGGATACCTGTAAACTCTTGGAATAGACAGTAATAATGTTTGGCAAACCTAGCTTTTAGTTTGCTATTGATCGATTGACTCAGCTATACTGTTAGACACTGGAGTTACAGTCACGAGCAAGACAGACCTGGTCCCTGCCCCGAAAGAGTTTTCTGGCTATGGGGAGAAAAATGGGTTTTAAATAAATAAATTACAAATTTGTTAAACGTTAAGAAAAGAAATAGAGCATGCTTGGGGTTGTGCAGTAGGAGACTGTAAAGGTAAACATGACAGCATTGAGATTTACAGGACGCGTAGGTGTAGGCCAGGTAAGAAGGGTAGGTGTGAGGGGAGTGCAAGAGGAGGAGTGTTCCAGGCAGACTCACTCTCAGTCTGGCAATTTCCATAATAGTTCTTCTATTATTTGTCATATTTCTTCATCGGAGAGAATCAGTGGGAGTTTCCAAGCAGCAAAGGAAGGCAAGGACTAAATATTCTTTTTATTCGAAATGGCTGAAGGGACTGCCATTTTTGCTTGTTCGTATTTTCACTCTCTCTAGGTGAGTGTCTGCCTGCATGGGCTGCACCGGGGAGTGTTGGTAACTGAGGTGGACAAGTGATTGGGGCATATCATAGTCCAGTTGTCCCATCATAGATCTGGATTTTGGTCTGAGTGGGGGCTTTAGGGAGACAAGGATTGCTTCTGACCGTGAAGTGCTGATATGACCCCGTTCCCCTTCCAGGAAGTGGACATTGTGGTGGCACCATGCCAAGGCCTCCGGCCCACAGTGGATGTTCTGGGTGACTTGGTGAATGATTTCTTGCCTGTGATAACCTATGCACTCCACAAAGATGAACTCTCTGAGAGGGATGAGCAAGAGCTTCAGGAAATCCGAAAGTATTTCTCCTTTCCCATATTCTTTTTCAAAGTGCCGAAGCTGGGCTCAGAGATAATTGACTCCACCAGAAGAATGGAGAACGAAAGATCATCGCTTTATCGCCAGCTAATTGACCTGGGCTATCTGAGCATCGGTCACTGTAACTATGGGGCCCCCAGCCAGGACACTAAAGCTCAGAGCATGTTGGTGGAACAAAGTGAGAAGCTAAGACTCTTGAGCACATTTTCTCACCAGGTGCTCCAGGCTCGCCTGGTGGACGCGGCCGCAGCCCTGAACCTGGTGCACTGCTGCTGCCTTGACATCTTTATTAACCAGGCCTTTGACATGCAGCGCGACCTGCAGATTACTCCCAAACGTCTGGAATATACACGAAAAATGGAGAACGAGTTGTATGAATCACTGATGAATATCGCCAACCGAAAGCAGGAGGAAATGAAAGATATGATTGTTGAGACGCTTAACACCATGAAGGAGGAACTTCTGGATGATGCAGCCAAAATGGAATTTAAAGGTAGGTCCCCGAGAGCTTGATGGGGTGCCGGGACTACAGGGGCCTCTCCCCTTTGCAGCTGGAAATGGAGGAACCTCAGGGTCATGTCACTTACACTGCTGTCATCAGCAGGAGTCCAATTTAAATTATCTAGCCAAGGTGGCCTTGTTCTCAGAGAGCTTCCTGGAAGACACCACTGTCATTCCTTTGCAGGACTGTTAGCCCAGCTTCTGGGAAATTCATCCTAACAGCACTCTTTAGTCTCTAGTTTGTATCTGCATCCCCTTGACCCTAATGGAGCTGGAGAAGAGCTGCTTGAAGAATGTGACTAAGTCATGCTTTAACCTTGACTCCTTTGGCAGAGCCTATGCTTCTTTTGTGGTCCTTTTTGTGTGTATGTCATGGTCTCCATTTTCTTTTCAGGTTGCTCCTGAAACCCAGCTCAGGAGAATTTCCCAGAGTAGTGTTTCTAGCTTTTCTGGTGGTCCCATTCTTCACGAATGGCTATTAAAAAAAATTGGGTCAAAGTGGTTGGTCAGGTCTTTGGTGTCTGAGGTTTAGATTCTGGTGACTTTGTATATAGACAGCTATATAAACCTCCCTGCATGAACATTAGCTCTACTACCCATTAATAAAAGTGGCTTGATTTGCAAGCAAGTTACACTTTAGGTTCTTAGTCATGCTATACATCCAAACCACCTGGGAGCCTAAAAATCTACTTGAAACTATTAATTCATCAGATTTCCTGACATGGGACCCCGTGTCAGGTTTTTGTTGTTGTTGTTTTGCCTCCTTCAAAAACAACCTCCCTAGGTGGATTGTACTTATTGCCATTTTCTAGATGATGAAACTGGGGCTTAGACAGGTTAAGTAATTTGCTGAAGGTCACATAACCACTAAATAGTAGAAGCAGAATTTGAACCTAGATAGTCTGATTCCTCAGCCTATACTCTTATTTTTTCCATGCTTTACTGCTTCTTAATCTGTTCCCAGTTACTTGATGTCACCATCTTCCTGGCAACCAGCTTTAAAATTTCAGCATGGTCTTTAACTGTTTTTTTCTCTTATCTCCACATCCAGTCATTTGCCAAGTTCTGATGAGTCCTTTTCCATATTTTATTTACCTTTGCTTTTTTATTCCCTCTTCTGTAGTCTAACTGAACTATTGTTAGCTGATCGATCTCATTGTCTTTCTCTCCTTTCTCCAGTTCATCTTTACTGGCTCCCTGTTCTTGCAGAGTAAGTTTAGATTCCTTCACCTGGTATTAAATTTCTGTTTCACTTGGTCTCAACTGCTTGCTGTCCTCTAAATGCTTCTTTTACTTTTTCTTTGCTCAGGCCCTGCCCTAAACCCGAAAGGTCTTTTATTGTCTGTGAATTTCCAAATGCTACCCACCCTTCAAGGCCTCTTCCAAATAACATTTTTCATGAAGTTGTCTTTAATTTTCTTACCTGATAACCATTGCATTCATCTGAACTCCAAAAGCATTTCATTTGTAATTGAAATTTTTGGCATATGTCACTTTTTATCTTTTATTATAATTATTAATAATTGTGTTCTTCTGACTAAAAACTTGAAGGCGAAGGAGAGTAGGATCTGGGTTTTATTCATTACCATATCCGTTGCAGCAAATAACAGTGTTATAGTTCCTTCTTTGGAGAATGAATAAGTATGTGAATGATGGCATATGGCTCTGTTAACACTTACAGATATAAAGGAAATGTGATGGCTTTAACAAGCGTATAGCAAGCATAGGGTGCTTTATTTCCTACAGGTCTATTTTTTATTTTTTTATTTTTTTTAATTTTTTTATTCACTTGATGTAATTTACATAACTTCCAATTTTACGTATTTGACCCTTTTACTCTATCAGAGTTCTTTTACTCCATCTACCCCCCCTTCTCCCCCTACCCTCTGGTAACCACTAGTCTATTGTCCATGTCCATGAGTCTGTTTGTCCTGTTCGTTTATTGCTTTTAGGTTTATATCCCACATATAAATGATATCACGTGGTTTTCAACTTTCTCTGTCTGGCTTATTTCGCTTAGCATGATTATCTTGAGGTCCATCCATGTTGTCGCAAATGGCAGTATTTCATCTCTTCTTATGGCTGAGTAATATTCCCCTGTATATATGTACCATCTTCTTTATCCAGTTTTCTATTGTAGGACATTTTGGTCACTTCCATGTCCCAGCCACCGTGAATAATGCTGCTATGAACATTGGTGTGCAAATAAATATCTTTTCGGATATGGGTTTTCAAGTCTTTGGGGGTAAATACCAAGTAGAGGAATTGCTGGATCATATGGTAGATCAATTCTTATTTTTTTGAGGCACCTTCACACTGTTTTCCACTGTGGCTGTACCAATTTGCAGTCCCATCAGCAGTGTATGAGGGTTCCTTTTTCTCCGCATCCTCTCCAACATTTGTTATTTCTAGTCTTGTTGATTATAGCCATTCTAACAGGTGCAAGATGGTATCTCATTGTGGTTTTGATTTGCATTTCTCTAGTAGCTAGCGATGTTGAGCATCTTTTCATATATTTGTTGGCCATTTGTATGTCCTCTAGGGAGAAGTGTCTGTTCAGGACCTCACTTTTAGTTAGGCTCAGTAATTATGAGATATAGCTTCCTGGAAAATGCAATGTAAGCTAAGGAACTGAGTGTAAAATGGGAGATATCTCATGATTATTTCTGTATGAATAATGTAACTGCATAAGTTATCCAGAGACTTCACATGTTAATCTGGGCCCGAGAGCATCCACTGTGACAAGAAGACCTGAGAAGTTACATCGATAGTCCCAGACCTCTGTCTGCCTCACTTGTGCCTCAGGATTACTTTTATTTTTGAAATTACTAGTAAAGCCTGCTACTGGGCAATATCTCTGCCCCATGAGAATGTATCCTTATGTCTAGTTTCATTCTTTTGCAGGTGGCTTTCTAGTTTCCCAGCACCATTTATTGTAGAGGCTTTCCTTTCTCCATTGTATGTTTTTGGCTCTTTTGTCGAAAATTATTTTCCCATATAAATATAGGTTTACTTCTGGACTCTCGATTCTGTTCCACTGGTCTCTGTGTCTGTTCTTCTGCCAGTACCATGCTGTTTTGATTGTAGTCGCTTTGTAGAATAATTTGAAGTCAGGCAGAGTGACACCTCCAGCCTCATTCTTTTTTCTCAGGATGGCTTTGGCAATTTGGGTTTTTTTGCGCTTCCATACAAATCTGATGATTTTTTGTTCTGTTTGTTTAAAAATGCCGATGGGATTTTGATGGGGATTGCATTAAATCTGTATAAAGCTTTAGGTAATAAGGTCATTTTAAGTATGTTAATTCTTCAAATTCAAGAAGATGGAATGTCTTTTCAATTTTTTGTATCTTCTTCGATTTCTTTTAATAGGATCTTACAGTTTTCATTACATAGGTCCTTCGTATGTTTTATTAGATTTATTCCTAGGTATTTTATTCTTTTTGTTGCAATTTTTTCACTTTTTCTGACACTTTATTATTAGAGTACAGGAATGCTATGAATTTTTGAACATTGATTTTGAATCTAGAAACTTTACTGTATTTGCTTATTTTTTCTAGTAGTGTTCTTGTGGAGTCTTTACGGTTTTCTATATAGAGAATCATATCCACGAATAGTGACAGTTTAATTTCTTCATTTTTTATTTGGATGCCTTTTATATCTTTCTCTTGCCTAATTACACTCGCTAGGACCTCCAATGTTATATTGAATAGCAGTGGTGATAGTGGATAGCATTGTCTTATTCCTAATCTTAGAGGTTTTTGGTTTTTCACCATTAAGTATAGTGTTGGCTGAGAGTTTGTCATATATGGCTTTTATTATGTTAAAGTACTTTCTATACCGGTTTTGTGAAGTGCTTTAATCATAAATGGATGCTGTATATTGTCGAAGGCTTTTTCTGCATCTATTGATATGATCATATGATTCTTATTTTTTAATTGTTTATGTGGCATATTACATTAATCTATTTGCATATGTTGAACCATCCCTATGCCCCTGGTATGAGGCCCACTTAATCATGGTGTATAATCTTTTTAATATGTTGCTGTATTCGGTTTGCTAGTATCTTATTTAGGATTTTTGCATCTGTGTTCATGAGAGACATTGGTCTGTAGTTTTCTTTTTTTGTGTTATCTTTACCAGGTTTTGGTATCAGAGTAATATTGACCTCATAAAATGAGTTGGGTGGTATTGCCTCCTCTTCGATTTTTTTGGAAGAGTTTGAGGAGAATAGGTATTAAGTTTTGATGATCTTTCTAAGTACTTGTCCATTTCTTCTAGGTTATTAAATTTGGTTTTATATGTTTTTCATAGTATTCTTGTATGATCCTTTGTATTTCTGCGGTGTCTGTCGTAATTTGTCCTCTTTCATCCCTGATTTTGTTTATTTGTGTCCTTTCTCTTTTTTTTTTATTGAATCTAGCCAGGGGTTTGTCAATTTTATTAACCTTCTCAAAGAACCAGCTCTTTGTTGCATTTATCTTTTCTGTTGTATTTTTGTTTTCAATTTCATTTAATTCTGCTCTAATTTTGATTATTTCCTTAGGCTTCATTTGTTCTTACTTTTTTAGTTTTTTAAGATGAAGCATTAGGCTGTTTCTTTGGTCTTGTTCTCGTTCTTTAAGATAGACCTGTAATGATACGAACTTTCCTCTTATTACCGCTTTGCCGTGTCCCAAAAGTTTTGATATGTTGTACTATAATTATCATTCATTTCTCTGTATCTCTTGAGTTCTCTTTTTATTTCTCCTCTGACCCAGTCATTCTTAGCATGTTATTTAATCTCCATATATTTATGGTTCTTCCTGCTTTCTTTTTACAGTTGATCTCTAGTTTCAAATCATTATGATCAGAGAATGTGGTAGGTATGATTTCAACCCTCTTTTATTTGTTGAGGCTATCTCTGTGTCCCAGTATGTGGTCAGTCCTTGAGAACGTTCCATGTGCACTGTGGTAGCTCTTATGCGCAGATTCCATACTCAGACGTGCTGGCGTGCAGTTTGGGTGTCTTTTGTTGCATTTTAGATGTTCAGCTTATTGTTGTTTCAAGGGGAGAGATCTAGGGACATCTCTCCGCCATGTTTCTGACATCATTCTCCTTTAGGTCTTTCTAAAGATGAACAGAAATACCTCTTTGGTAAATTCCTATGGTAGGAAGGAATTGCCAAAAAATGGTCACTTGCAGTGGAAATCTAGGAAGTCTTCTTTGTATAATGCACAGACACTGGAACAGCGGTGCTGGCATCACAGTGCACGTGATAAAGGAGGGTCAGGGCAGGTAGATTGGGCAGACAGTGAAATATTTGATTGTCTGTTTCGTGCTGGGCATACCATGTTTGGTGTCTGGGATATAGTGGTTAGTTCAACAGACGTGGGTGTAATCAGGAACAAGTAGATCAGATATCTGGCTCCGTTAACTACATTGTGCCTTCATAGATCTACATACGTAGTTGGCTCTATGTTAGACACGACTTACATGTCTGCTTCTTACTTTGTTCTAAGTCCTTTCTGGGTATTCTTGATAAATAGATTTAGAAGAGTGTTACTACATATTCAGATTTCTATCATTGGTTTTGTTTGTTACTAAATATAGGTAATGCTGGGTATCATGACATATATACTTTATAAAATATTTAATTTTTGCAAAGATAATACTTACGTATATCAGACTTAACTCAAAGATAGAAAGATACTATCCCCTGGTCATCAAGTTTTCCTCTGTATGTTCTTCTGCTTCTTACTTTTTAACTTAATTCGTATGTTAGAGATCTTTCATAAATGTGTATACAAATTTGTCTTTTAATGGTTAGACCTTTATTTACGTAACTTCTCCCCTACCGGTGGACATTTAGGCTGTTGCTTTTCTTTTTTTGCTATTACAAACTACTGCATCGGACATCATTGTACATACATATCTTTGGGATATATAAGGATATATTTCTAGAAAATTAATTTCTAGAAGCAAAATGGTTAGGTCAGAGGGTATATATATATATATTTTTTTTTTGGTTGGCTAGTTTAGAATTTTGGCAGATATTGCCACATTTCCTCCAAAGAGGTAGCACTAATTTAAATTTCCACCAGTAGACATGAGTGGTGTTCAGGAGTGGTGTTTTTGCAGGTAATTTGTCTTTTCTTAACTTCTTCTGTCCTCTGGCTTGCAAAACAGAGTTTCTTATCCTAAGAGGTAGTGGCATGATGGGGACAACATTCCAGCTTTACTTTTTATTTATCTAATAATTGATTAGAATTGAATTCCTGACTCGGGGATTTTTTTCAACGTACTAGTTAGTGTGAAACATTACAAAGATCAGAGGTTTTGGAATCCATGAGCTTTGGGTTCAAATGCTAGCCAAATTAATTCCTAACTGTACCATCCCTACCTATTTGTCCTCTCTTGGAGGCTATTTCTTGATCTATAAAATATAACCAATAATACCACATGACAAAGTTATTGTGAAGATTAAATTAGACTACATATGTAAAATACCATAGTGTTTTCAAATAGTCTACACTCAATAAATGTTCTTCCTCTCCTATAAATGTGACCAAAAAGCTAATGAAATCAATAGACTCATTCTAGACACAATTGCTCCTTCTCAGATTCTTAGCTCCCTTAAGTTGTTGAGCGTTCCATGGCTCCCGACCATCCTGAGGGGCAGAGTTGGTCAGCCAGCCATGTGTTTTGTAGCTGTCATCATGGTAGTCCCTTGGGGATGGCTTTATTCAGTGTGCCTGCCCCTTTTCCTCACAGCCAACTACTTAATTTCTCTGCCTCCATAGATGTCATTGTTCCTGAGAATGGAGAACCAGTGGGCACCAGAGAGATCAAATGCTGCATCCGACAGATCCAGGAACTCATCATCTCCCGGCTGAATCAGGCGGTGGCTAACAAGCTGATCAGCTCAGTGGATTACCTACGCGAGAGCTTCGTGGGAACCCTGGAGCGGTGTCTGCAGAGCCTAGAGAAGTCTCAGGATGTCTCAGTTCACATCACCAGTAATAATCTCAAACAGGTACTCAAAGAATGTTTAGGATGCCACATCATAGATAACACATGAAATAGAATCTACACATCAGCCCAACTTCAAGTTAGTCAACAGTTTTCTTTTCAACTTTTTGTTGATCTACTTAGAATTTTATTTTGTTTTCCTATCACTTGACCACTGCATATGGAGGGTGCTCGTGAACTGTACAATTGCAGTTTACATTGATGAGCAAGGAGAAAATGAAGGGGCCCAAATAGTCACAAAACAGATGATCAGCTTGCATTGACTCTGCACATATATTGAGGGATAAATTTGAGAACCATAAAACCAGACTATGTTCTTAGAGTAAATATCATTCATGGCATTTTTTTAAATAGCCACTCTATGCAGGGCATATTGATTTTCTTTCGTGTGTTCTCTTTCAGATCTTAAATGCCGCCTATCATGTTGAAGTCACATTTCACTCTGGGTCCTCAGTTACAAGGATGCTATGGGAGCAAATCAAACAGGTAGAGGTTACTTAGAGAAAAAAGTTTCAGCCCTTAGTTGGCTCAAGTGAATTATAGTCACTTAGTCACTCCGATAAATCGTGGGTATCTAGGATTTTCTATTACTGTGGGGTAGCCATTTGCCCTAGTTTGCTTGCCTGGGAGAATTCTGGTTTATGCCTAATTATTAACAGTACCCCCTTTAACTCTTAAAAGTGGCGTGTTTAAATGATATTTTATGGAGCCATAAAACTCTGCTTCACTAGCTTCTTCATATTTCTTTGTCTCAACCTAAATGTTTTCTAAGAACCAGGCTTTGTTGCCAGAGGCCATGAGTATGGTTCCTTTTCTGGAATTTGATCTAGCTCTTATGCAAAGTTATTTACTGACTTAACAAAGGGATTTATAAGGTACTTCCTGGCACTAGATGTAACATATTGAGAGTTTGTAAGCACATAGACTAGGCCTCATGTTCTTTAATGCTTTCCTTTGGGCTGAGCCCTGATTTTGAGGTAGATGGAATTGGAGAGGAGTCTCGGCCTTCATATGGCTCCTGTCTTAACAGTGGATAACCTGGAGAGGGAAGGTATTGGTTCTTTCTACTGATTTCTGTCTCCCATCCCTTAATGTTCTCACTGTCCTTGTCCTGGCAGATCATCCAGCGTATCACATGGGTGAGCCCACCTGCCATCACACTAGAATGGAAGAGGAAGGTGGCCCAGGAAGCCATTGAGAGCCTCAGTGCCTCCAAGTTGGCCAAAAGCATTTGCAGCCAGTTCCGGACTCGGCTCAATAGTTCTCACGAGGCTTTTGCAGCCTCCTTGCGGCAGGTGGGTATGTGTGAAAGGAGATACAGCTGGATCAAGCAAAGAAGAACCTCATATATTGGGGAACATTTTACTCTCTGCTTTCCACATCATTTTTAAAAATCAATATATTTTCTTTCTATTCTGTTAAAGGATAATATGTCACAGGAAATTTCATAAATGAATTTTTCACATGGTTATTTTTCTATTCTAACTATAGGGAAAATTCAGGGAGTCAGTTAATTTCTCCCCATTTCATTGAAGAATGAAAATTGAGGGGCAGGAATTTTATATTAAGTTTATATAGTATTTTAGGACTGATTGACAATCCCAATTTACAGTTATGTGATGTCTGCGTGTCCCTTTGGTGTGTGTGTGTACATGCCTGTGTATGCATGTATGTGCATGTGTTTGTGTTTGTGTTGGGGAGGGTGGGTAGATGTGATACGCATCAGGAGGAAAAATTATTACTTGGTGAGAGCCCACTATGACCAATCTCTGAGCTAAATATGTTATGTACATCTTATTCTCACAGTTATCCTTATGAGGCAGATATTATTATCCCTGTATAACAGAGGAGGAAGCCAGAGCCAGGGACTTGATATCGTCATGTCTTTTTTCTGTGTCCTCTCAGCTGGAAGCTGGCCACTCAGGTCGGTTGGAGAAAACTGAAGATCTATGGCTGAAGGTTCGGAAAGATCACGCCCCACGCCTGGCCCGCCTTTCTCTGGAGAGCCGTTCTTTACAGGATGTCTTGCTGCATCGTGAGTCCTTGTTTTTTCACAAGTAAATTAGAAGAGCCTTCTGGATACCTGACATTCTCATGTTCAGCCTGGAGAATCCAATCACTCCTGATGTGTTTTTGAATTCCTAAAGTGTGTTTGGTCCTGCTATTTATATAGTTCAAATAACAGGACCAAAGTTTGTTTAAATCAGACCAGTTAGTTTAGAATGACATCAGAATTCTACCCATCTCCCCATGAAATTAAGACTTCCTGCCTCTAGGCAGGTCCATGGCTAAGAATCTTAAGGAGGTTGCCCAGCAAGTTCTCATCCTGCCTGCCTTATCTCTGTCTCTGTACCTTGTAGGTAAACCTAAACTGGGACAGGAACTGGGCCGGGGCCAGTATGGTGTGGTATACCTATGTGACAACTGGGGGGGACACTTCCCTTGTGCCCTGAAGTCAGTTGTTCCTCCAGATGAGAAGCACTGGAATGACCTGGCTTTGGAGTTTCACTATATGAGGTGGGTCACGTCTCATTCGCCTTTGGGAAAAGATCCAGGGAAGCCAAAGCCTGGCATAAATTCTGTACCAAGAGCTATAAGCATGCCTGTCTCTCCATACCTAGGTCTCAGATGTTTAAGACCAGTGTTTCTGCACTGGCTCAGAACTGTGCTATCTTCACGGCCTTTTCTGTGTTTGCTTGCCCTTTCCTCACCATCCTAATTTCTCAAACTCATCCTACCGTTTGACTTTCTTCCTTAGTCCTTAAGGCTTATCCATTTTTAGATTGCATAATTCTTCATCCTTGCTCAAGAGGCTATTCTCTTTGCCCTCTCTCTGTACTGAGGGCCATCACCTGTGGACCTGGACTAGGCTTGGTCTCAAGGTGGTTCCTTCCCACGTGTGGCATGCTGTGCATTGTAGCCTAGACCTTTCTCCTTCCCATCAGGTCTCTGCCAAAGCATGAGCGATTGGTAGATCTCCATGGTTCTGTCATCGACTATAACTACGGTGGTGGCTCCAGCATTGCTGTGCTGCTTATTATGGAGCGGCTACACCGGGACCTCTACACTGGGCTAAAGGTGAGGCAAAGCGAGGACAGAGTGAGATCCAGCTCTCAGCTAGATCCGCACGTTTCTTTCTGGCGTTTTATCCTTTCTTGTTTGTTCAGAGCTTCTAGCTTTTATAGACATAGTTGGAGTAATCAAGCTTTATTACTTTTGTTTCCAAAAAACCTTAAAAATATTTCAATCTATTTTTTGGCCCAGTTCACATCTAGAGTACTTTTACCTCCTGTGGTAGTGGGAAAGAACTAGAAAAGCTTTCTGTAACTCCACTGTTCTCGTTTTTTCCTGTCAATGGGTAAAGCCAGTTTTTGTTTTTCAGTCAACACATATTTATTAGTGACAACTTTGGATAAGGCCCTATATTGAGCAACATAAAGGGGTGCCAAAAGTGTAATTGCCAGAAGCTTTTAAGGAAATTATAGTCAGTGAATGTTTCATGAAGATGTAGTGTTTGAGTTTGATAAGTACATCATGGTGGATAAAATTTGGGCAACTGGAAAGAAGAGGCCATTCCAGGGGGAGGAAATAGCATAATGGCAATAGCACTGGAAGGCCAATAAGGACACTAGTTGTGTTGGAGCAGCTGGTTCATTGGGGAATTGTTGGGGAGGATGGCATAATGTGCAAAAAAATGTTGCAGACAAATTATAGAGGATAAAAGTGTTAAGATTTTCCATAGAATTCAAATTCTGTTACAGACTATGAGAAGTCATTGAAAGATTTTATTTGGGTGAAGGTGAAATACCCTCAGTTGGATGTTGAGTTTCTCTCATCTAAAATAACCACCAAAAAGGAAATAGAGCGGTTACTTTTGTTCTCTATGCTGGAGCTGAGTAGAATTGGGGGAAAGGTAACTCCACAGCATCTAGGTAGGTCCTTTCTCACAGATTTCTCTTATACCAGTTTATATGGAAGCTTCCAGAAGTAGAACAAAGGAAGCCTTAGAAATGCTTGCAAGAGTCATGAGAAATCAGTATGATGAAGGAAATTATACCAAGTGGTTTTCCCTCTTTGTTTCAGAGGAGTTAAGCTCCACTTTCTCTGATGCTTCCCCCTCAGGTGGGCTAGATTACCCTACCTGAGCTTTTTGCTGAGTGATGTAACATTCTCCAGACTTCAGGAGACCCTTAATTGGAGGCTTGGTAGAAGTAAGATGAGTGACTTTGGTGTTTAAATCCATAAAACCCAAACTGGCCAAACTGGGCCTACAAAGCAATGGATCTGGCTGAGGGACCTAGAAATACTTACTTCGAGCCTCAAGGACAGTTCCAGAGTTTGTTTATGGGTTAGAACGAGCTCCTGCTTTTAGTCGTGGGGTTGCATCTCTCTTAGTCACATTCGAGGATTCTGCAGCTGGCCTAAGTGCAGCCTCCAAGGGATTTTATCTGGCCTGTATAGCTCACCATTCCTTGCTTTTCTTCTGCTTCCCTCTCCTAACTGCTTTCCTCTTCCCTTTTTTTCCATCTACTTTTCTGTCTTGTGTACCCTAGTGAAGTCAGTCTTTCATTACTCCACGCGGAGCCCTTAGTTGGTGTAAGCAAGGTGGATTGAGAAGTTGTCTTGTTAGTGACAAGCAAGCTCTTTTGTCTCCTCAAGGCTGGGCTGACCCTGGAGACACGTTTGCAGATAGCACTAGATGTGGTGGAAGGAATTCGCTTCCTGCACAGCCAGGGACTTGTCCACCGTGATATCAAACTAAAAAACGTGCTGGTAAGTAAGAGCTGATTCCCCAAAATAACACAACACCTCTGTGGGTTAAGTGACCTTTGGAAGGCACGTGTAAGTTTAGCCCCAGGAAAAGAATGGTGGGCAAGTAGTACAGTTAACAGCAGAGTGGACGGATAGTGAAACTTAAGGAGGATTGGCATCACAGACCCAATTTATATTGCTTAAGGTTTTTTTTCTCCCAACACTTGAAAAAATTTAAACTTACAGAAAAGTTAATAGAGTGGTACAATGAAAGCCCATATACCGTTCACCCAGACTCATAGTCTCTCTTTTTTCCTAGTGTAGTCTCTGTATCTGTATCTGTGTCTCTGTCTCTGTCTCTCTGTCCCCCTCTCCCCACTCCCTCTCCACACACACACACTTTTTTACTGAACTGTACAAAAGTTGCAGATAGCATGTCACTCCTAAATGCAGACATACCTCGTTTTATTGCACATTGCTTAATACACTTCACAGATACTGTGTTTTTTGCAAATTGAAGATTTGTGGCAACTCTGCATTGAGCAAGTCTGTTGGTGCCTTTTTTCCAACAACATCTGCTCACTTTGTGTCTCTGGGTCACATTTTGGTAATTTTTTTTTTTTTTTTTTTTTTTTTTTCAAACTTTTTCATTTTTTTTATATTTGTTATGGTGATCTATGATCAGTGATCTTTGATATTGCTCCTGTAATTGTTTTGGGGCACCACAAACTATGCCCATATAAGATGGCAAACTTGATCTATAAATGTGTGTGTTCTGACAGCTCCATTGACCAGCCATTCTCTCTTTCTCTCCCTCTCCTCGGCATCCCGATTTCCTGAGACACAACAATATTGAAATTAGGCTAATTAATAAACTCACAATGGCCTCAAAGTGTTCAAGTGAAAGGAAGAGTTGCACATCTCTCACTCTAAATCAAAAGCTAGAAATGCTTAAACTTAGTGAGGAAGATACATTGAAAGCCAAGATAGGCCAAAAGCTAGGCATCTTGCGCCAAGCAATTAGCCAAGTTGTGAATGCAAAGGAAAAGTTCTTGAAGGAAATTAAAAGTACTACTCCAGTGAACACACGAATGATAAGAAGTCCAAACAGCCTTATTGCTGATTTGGAGAAAGTTTTAGTGGTCTGGATGGAAGATCAAACCATCCACAACATTCCCTTAAGCCAAAGCCTAATCCAGAGCAAGGCCCTAACTCTCTTCAATTCTGTGAAGGCTGAGAGAGGTGAGGAAGCTGCAGAAGAAAAGTTTGAAGCTAGCAGAGGTTCATGAGTTTTAAGGAAAGAAGCTGTCCCCATAACATCAAAGTGTAAGGTGAAGAAGCCAGTGTTGATGTAGAAGCTTCAGGACATCATCCAGAAGATCTGGCTAAGATAATTAACAAAGGTGGCTGCACTAAACAACAGATTTTCAGTGTAGATGAAATAACCTTCAATTGGAAGAAGATGTCATTTAGAATTTTTATTGTTAGGAAAAGTCATGCCTAGCTCCAGAACTTCAAAGGACAGGCTGACTCTCTTGTTAGGGGCTAATGTAGCTGGTGACTTTTAAGTTGAAGTCAGTGTTCATTTACCATTCTGAAATCCTAGGGCCCTTAAGAATTATGCTAAATAGTCCATGGCCATGCCACCCTGAAGAAGCCCGATTCCGTCTGATCTTGGAAGCTAAGCAGGGTCGGGCCTGGTTAGTATTTGGATGGGAGACCACCTAGCTAGACCAGGTGCTGTAGGCATAAAAAATAAAAAATAAGGGATTGTAAGCTGACAGGGTCCTTGCAATCTGTGAGGTCAAGCAAGGGTTGCCTCGCCTAAAAACAAAAAAAAGAATTATGCTAAATATACTCTGCTTGTGCTCTATAAGTGGAACAAGAAAGCCTTGTTTACAACATCTGTTTACAACATGGTTTGCTGAGTATTTTAAGCCCACTGTTGAGATCTACTGCTCAGAAAAAATATTCTTTCAAAATATTACAGCTCACTGGCAATACACCTGGTCACCCAAGAGCTCTGATGGAGATGTACAATGAGATTATTGTTGTTTTCATGTCTGCCAACACATCCATTCTACAGCCCATGGACCAAGGAGTAATTTCAAAGTCTTATTATTTAAGAAATACATTTCGTAAGGCAATAGCTGCCGTAGATAGTGATTCCTCCGATCATCTGAGCAAAGTAAATTGAAAACTTGAAAAGGAGTCACCATTCTAGATGCAATTAAGAACATTTGTTATTCATGGAAGAGTTAAAATAGCAACACTAACAGGAGTGTAAAAGATTTGATTCCAACTCTCATGGATAACTTTGAGGGTTCAAAACTTCAGTGGAGAAATTAGAATTGGAGGTTGAAGATGTGACTGAATTGCTGCCATCTCATGATAAAATTTTAATGGGTGAGGAGTTGCTTCTTATGGATGAGCAAAGAAAGTGGTTTCTTGTCATGGAATCTACTCCTGGTGAAGAAGCCATGAAGATTTAGAATATTACATAAACTTAATTGTTAAAGCAGCAGCAGGGTTTGAGAGGATTGACTTCAGTTTTGAAAAAAGTTCTACTGTGGGTAAAATGCTACAAACAGCATCCCATGCTACAGAGAAATCATTGGTTAAAGGAAGAGTGAATCGATGTGGCAAAGTTCACCGTTGTCTTATTTTAAGAAATTACCATAGTCACCCCAGTCTTCAGCAACTCCCAACCTGATCAGTCTGCAGCCATCAACATCAAGGCAAGACCCTCTTCCACCAGCAAAAAAATTATGACTCACTGAAGTCTCAGATAATGATTAGCATTTTTTTAGCAATGATGTACTTTTTAATTAAGGTATACACATTATTTTCTTGCATTATACTTAATAGACTATAGTATAAACATAACTTTTATATGCACTGGAAAACCAAAAAATCCATGCAACCCACTTTATTGCAATATGGACTTTCTAGTGGTATTCTGGGACTGAACCTGCAACATCTCTGAGGTCTGCCTGTGCTTCAGCTTGTATCTCCTAAGAAAAAGGACATTCTTCTAAAGTGCCATTAATCATACCCAAGAAATTTAACGTTGATACAATACTATTGGTTAATATACTGTCTGTATCAACATTTTCCAATTGTCCCAAATATGTCCAGTTATCCCAGGTGTGGTCAGATTATTTGTTCGATCCAAGATCCAACCCAAGGATCTTTCTGTCGACATGTTTCTTTAGCCTCCTTTAATCTAGAATCGTCCTGCCTTTTTTTGCTTTTGTGATATTGATATTTTTAGATTCCAGGTCTTATTATTGTTTAGGGTTTGATCAGAGGTCCTGAATGAGGGCCGAGATGGATAAATGCACCTTAAAAGAGAAGATAGTCATGAACCCACCAGTCCTATTATCTAAATTACAAACAATCTTTTGACATGCTCCTTTTGAAAATATATTAGATTATCACGGAGGTGTTCCTGGCAATACTTAAATGATGTATAAAGATGCAGCAGTTTCGGGAAAGGAAAGGTCTTCCTAAATATATAGGCTGAAACCTAAGAGGCTTATTAATAACCAAATGAGACACAGATTTATCCTCTTGAACCTTTAGGAAAGGAAACCACAGGGAATTCAAGAAACTCGCCTCAGCTGAGCAAAGGACTTTCTTAGCAGCTTTCTGACCTGGAGTCTGAGGTCAGAGGAAAATAATCAGGAACTAAGATACTTTCCTTAGTGTTTTTAACTTATTTGTTCTTTCAAGATATGTTGAGTTCCTGGTAGTTTCAGGCAAGTGCTGGGAATCCAAAGATGAAAAAGGCGGTCCTTGCTATCAGGCTTACAGTCTGTCTGGGCAGAAGACAGTGGTAGGAACGAATCTGGAGGCGAGATTATAGATACCTACCTGTGAGTTTGGGGATGCAACTCTCTGCAGGACCAGACACAAGGTGACTCTTGCCCTGCTTTGTTGGCAGTTGGACAAGCAGAACCGTGCCAAGATCACTGACTTAGGATTCTGCAAGCCAGAGGCCATGATGTCAGGCAGCATTGTGGGGACACCAATCCATATGGCCCCTGAACTCTTCACAGGTAAGCCGGAGGGCATGGAGTGGGCTTGGGCAGGGCTCTGTGCCGTAACCCTGAGTGCTACCCCTTGAGCTAGAGTTATATTTACAAGTACTACTGGCAGATCTGGCACAGGCAAGGGAGAAAACAGAACAGGAAACCTAAGACAAGTAGGAGGGAAAATGAAGAGGTAAAGGAGTCAGCAACTATTCTTTTGGTTGTCTCTCTGGGCTATTAGTGTAGTAATTGCCATAATTAACCAATTATTTAATCATAAAGTATTGATTGAATAGTTCCTATGAAATAGGAGTTGTCCTTATCATTAAAGAAGTTACAAATGACAGACATATTAATAGAGGTAAAATAACTAGGAAGCAGTATAAGACAATGTATATAATTAAGTGCTAATTAAATGCTACATAATGCAATGTTGGCGTTCAAAGAAGGGATAAACGAAGGTTGAATGATTGATAGTTTTATGGTACAGGTGAGCTTTTAGGTAGAACTTGAGTCAGATCTGGAAAAATTGGTGAGAAGGGAATTCATTTATTAGATATATTCTTTGAGCTAGATAATGTATATTTTTACATATATTTTTTCTCATTTAATCTTCACTACAATTCTGTGGTGATGCTGATGCATTTTTATGTCCATACCATGGATGAAGTTGAGTCAAGGCCAGATTGCTGAAGAAACTACCTCAGAACACTGATCCAGAAGTCATGGAGCTGGAATTGGAATCCAGCTCTTTCTGTCTCTACAGTTTAACCATGAAGGAAAGAAAATTCTGGAAGCTGGAGAATGGGAAATGTGAGGAAAATTGCAGAATAGAAATAAGCATGACAGGAAGGAAATCCATTTGGGGAATAATAGGCAAACCAGGTTGGAGATAAAATACATTGAGCTTGAAATTCATGCAGAGGAGTGAAGGCTTAATGTGGAAGAATTAAGATGCTATTGATTGAGCTTTTGAGGAGGTAAGGAATGAAAAATGTTTGTGGAAGATCTGCTTACAGCAGTAGCGAGAGGGGACTTGCATGGCAAGAACCAAGGTAGGGAAATAGCGGGGGTAGTCTCCAGGATTAGGTTGGTGGTAGTGCTGAAACAAACAAAAAGTGACATTTTGAGATAATTCAGAGGAAGAACAGGCAAGATACTGTTATTAACTTGATTCAGATGATGAACAGAAAAGAATAACTCAGCGATGACTCCAAGGGTTTGAGCCTGAGTGGATGAGGAGGGTTGTATTATTATTGAAAAGGTAACCATAGTATTGGTAAGAGTTAAATTAGCAGTATATTTGGATTTCTGTCATCAGCCTCATGCCCAGGTCTTCCCCTAACCCTTCACTGAGTGGTACTCATAAGAATTAGGAGTTAGCTGGAGAGCTGTAGTCCTACCCACGTAGGAACGAAGTACACAGTCATCATTTTTCTTTCTCTAGATTTCCTTTTTTTTAAAAAATTTCTGTTCCCAGTGCTATTATTTTATTTTGGCTACTTTATATTTAGATTCCTTTGATTGTTTCTACTACAGTCCATCCTATTGCTGTCAGAATAGTCTTTCTAAAATACTTTCATGTCACCTCTTGCTCTAAAACATAAATGACTTCCTGCTGTCTCCTGAATCCACTCTTCTGTCTGACTTTAAAAACCTTTATATTCTGGTTCCAACCTACCCATCCACCTGTATTTCCCAACTTTTTTTCTGTAATATAACTTTTCAGGATTAATCTTTTTGACTCTTCCATCGAATTAAAAGGCCTGTTTTCCTTCTCCTTTGTCAAGTTCTAGTCTTGGCTCTCAAACTCTAGCTTTGACTTTCAGTGGCATAGTTTTTTGTATTATAAAATGGGCATTATGAATATGTCTTGCCTGAATGTGTCTTGCCTAACAGGGTTGTTACAAGAGATAATAGATATTAAAGGCTTTAGGGAAAAGTGTGTAAAGTCCTCTACAGATACAAATTAGTGGTCATACTGTTGATTCCTCTCCCTGGCTCACTGCTTGTTATCTCCCCTTCTTGCTGTAGGGAAGTATGATAATTCAGTGGATGTCTACGCTTTTGGCATTCTTTTCTGGTATATCTGCTCAGGCTCTGTCAAGCTCCCTGAGGCATTTGAGAGATGTGCCAGCAAAGACCATCTCTGGAACAATGTGCGGAGAGGTAAGAGCCACAAGCCCTACTTTGTCCTAATTCCCCTGTTGAGAGCAGACCAGGCAATGCAGCAGGTGCCTCTCATCACCATGTACACATTTAAATCGACATGGAATCCAGAAAAGCCACTTACGTCAAACCTTTGATTCCAGCCAGCATTGTACTAAACTGTCTCAAGTAGGCATTTTTCTTTAAAATTTCCAGTTCTTCAACTTCCTATACCAGTATATTACAGTTCTTCATCACTGTTATTATTAGGTTCTAACCTAGACATTTGCCATTCAAGATAAAGATCATTGCAACCGTTAGCATCCTGAGTGCCATCTGAGTCATCAGCCTGTGAGCTGATCATGCCTCTTGGGTGTATTGGTCCCCCTCTCACTGACGGTGATCTTATCTCCATTCTCCTTTCTCTAGGGGCCCGCCCAGAGCGTCTTCCTGTGTTTGATGAAGAGTGCTGGCAGCTGATGGAAGCCTGTTGGGATGGTGACCCCTCTCAGAGACCTCTCTTGGGCATTGTCCAGCCCATGCTCCAGGGCATCATGGATAGGCTGTGCAAGTCAAATTCTGAACGGCCAAACAGAGGACTAGATGATTCTACTTGAAAGCAAAGACTTTTCTCTTCCATTCTTTATTTCCTTCCTTCCCCTCACCTTTTGGCTATGGGAAGAATTTGACGGTTGTTCCTTACGGAGAGCTCCCTAGGGAATTGATGCTTGCTAGGCAGCTTGAGACCTCCCCAGGCAGAGATGACTCCTAGATAGTGCAATCAGATGGCTGAGCCTATTCAGCAGTTCACTGGTGCCCCAAGCTGTCCCTTTAGCAAAAGATTGTCTAGGACATTGGTAAAAGCTGAAGAAGGCCAAGTTCTGGCCTCAGAACTGAAAAGGAGGCAAATGTTACCATCGTCTGTTCACTGTATGTTTTTTAAGACAAATGGGACACTATAGTGGCAATAGTATTAAAAACTGTAATGTTCATAATTTTGGCTTTATCTAAGAATAGTGTGGTTCTGTCTAGTCGTCAGGACCCTTAGAAAATTTGAGCTTTGTTCCGGGATTGTGAAAACATAGGAGCAAAGATTAACTTGTGGCTACCTGGTCCCTGCTGTCTGTACTCAGGTTGCCACAGCTAGAGGCCACAGTGATGAAGCTAGAAACAAAGCTATCTGTTCCTTACAGTGCCAGTGTTTACATTTATAGGACCGCATAGCCCTGGCTTCTGCGGGAGGGTTTCATGGTTACATCGCCAAGAGGCCACAAAAAGAAAAGTGTGTGCGTGTGTGTATGTGCGCGCGCGCACACACATACAGGCTAATGGATTTCAAGTTACTGCAGCCCCTGGAACAGGATCTCTCCTGCCCTTGGGTCTTGATTTTTTTCCTTTTTGTTCTCAAGTTGAAGAAGCTCCAGTTAACATGGTACTTAGCGGTTAGTGTCTGAGTAAAACTGACCCAGCGTGAAATATTTGGTGAGCCTGAGAAGTGGGCAATGATCTGGAGGCCGTGGGCCTCCATATAAACCCACTAGAAGGATACCAGCTTGTTTTTTAAAACTTAAAATCAGAAACTTTTTTTTGTGTTTGAATCTAACACGCTGATATTTTTAAACTTGATCAATGAGCTTTTTAACCAAGGTTTCTTCTGCAACCTGTCCCTTCTTTTTACCTTATTTTAAATATAATGTTAGAAGGAATGAACTAGCTGAAAGAGAAGAATATTCTTTGTAGTTCTGTGTGTGCCCCCTTTCCCTGTGTGTCAGTGTCTTGGAAGGGTCCCCTCCCTTGCAGTTGGGAGGTTGGGCGGTGGTCTTCTGGAGTTTGTCATGGAGTATGGATCAGAAGAGAAATTCTGATGCCAGTCAAAGGAAAGTTCATGGAGTATAGATCAGAAGAGAAATTCTGATGCCAGTTAAAGGAAGGTTCCGGAACAATTTAAACATTGGTGCATCTCAGATGTTGGTTCCGGAACAATTTAAACATTGGTGCATCTCAAGCCTCCCTCAGTCAAAATGGTCCATTAGACTTAGAAAAACATACAGACGAAGGAATAAATAGTGGAGGAGAGTAGCTTCCTTCCAACTACCCAGTCCCCAGGCACTGCGGTTGTTCCCCGGTGCATGGCCCCAAACTGTGTGAAACATGTCCCTGAGCAGATGTTTAAGATAATGTGCAGATTTGTTACCGGAATTTTGTAGGGTTGTTTGTGACAGAATGACCATCTCTTGAACATTAACAGGATATGAATGGAGTCTACAAGAAATATTTCTTGTAACTTTTAAAGCTCAGTTTTTAACTCTGGTTCTTTTGGCTCTGATTATGATATGTTTGAGCGTAGTGGCCTCCTAAGCACTTGTAGCCCTTCAAAAACTCAACATATTGCTCAAAACCTTTTTACTTGCAAATGATAAAGTAACTGACCCAGTGTCTTTGGGTTCTGTAGGCTCCAGACTCCTTTAGCTAGAACGTTCAGTAGACGTCTTAGACTTTTTAACACTCATTTAGCTTTACGTCAGGTCACCATTCTTGTCAGCAGTAACACCTTGTTCTTGTGGGGACTGTGACGGGCCTTCCATGAAGCCAAGTTTCAAGTTACAAAAGAAGAGGCGAGTAGTCTCTACTTGCTGAAAAATCAGTGTAAATCTATTTCTGTATGACATTTCATGAAAGATTTTATAGTGTTCCCTTTTCCTTTAGCTAGACTGTCTTCCTTTAGCTAGCTGTAATCAGGAGTCTGTGCCCCTGTCATGAAGGCCACGTTCCTAACATTCTTTGGAAGTCTTAGCTCATACCCCCACTCACAGATAGGACAGTATGGTTTTCTCCATCCAGAGTCCCTTTGCAGTTTGTCCTCTGTGGCTTAGTCTGCTCAGACACCAGTTTTCTAGCAGTTTCCCACATTTTTTGATTGAGTAGGGAGGGATGAAGGGCTGAAAGATGAGTAGTTGTGTTATAGTTCATTAAAGTATTCCAAGAAAAGGTGCAAAATATTCCTGGGAGTCTCCTCTAGGCCAGCCAAAGCCCACGTGTAGGTGTTTGGAAGTGTATTTAAACACTCAGCAGGCTGAGTGCAGGGATACATATGTATAACAGGCGTGTACTTTGCTTTTGTTTTATAACATTATCAGCTAATTTTGGATTCTTTGTTCCTTGGCACCCATTATTAGTAAAGTGATGGAATGCCATTAAATGTACTGTACTGTATATTACTTGGGAAGACACTAGGTATTCAAAGAAGTCTGGTGGCACTTGGGCTCTCAGGGGCTCAGAAAGACTAAAGTCTGAAGATTTTACCTTCTGGCTTTGGCTGTATGTGCTTCCAAGTGGTAAGATGAGATTGTGTCTGGGGAAGGAAGAAGGATGGGATGAAAGAATTACTCTTACTATGTTCTGTCCTTCTCATCAACTTAATTAGGGTAGTTTACCCCAACCTGAAAATGATCACCTGGCCATTTTTAATGCACTTGAAGTCTGATCACTTATGTTCCTTCAGAACTGAGTGAAGGACCTTCCTGCAGAGCAGTTGGAAGAAATGATGGAGTCTGCAGCCAGGAGGGGCTGACCCTGTGCCTAGGGAGCCAGCAGTAAGGTTAACGAATGCTCTTTTGGGTGAGGTTTCCCCAGGCATGCCCAAGTTCCCTTGATCCTCTGCAGAGAGAAGCTCATTGATTGAGCAAGCCTTGGGAAGGAGGGCTGTGCGGGTTCTTCCCAGACCAAAGAGAGTCACTTGTGACTCCATCAATTTCAGGGGGACAGAGCCTAGGCAGCAACTTCTCCTAATTTTTAACACTAAAATTCAAGGAAACAGTGAAGGAGAGGATACATTACTACCACAGATAGAAGCAGGTGAATGGTACAACTTTCAAGCGGTACCTGCCCCCTCTCCAATGCATTATTTTTTTCATCTTTGCTTGAGCTGCCAAACGTGTTGTAAAAGTATTTTTCTTACAGGAGAAGTGGTTTGGGGTGACAGAGCTGCAACGTGGTAATTGCACTGAATGACACTTTATACTTTGGTTTATTATTCAGCACTGAGAGCCAAGGGGGACTGGTGGTTACAGTAGCACTTGGAGGAATAGAGACTCCCTCTGGCCTTGCTTTGGCGAAAAGGCCTGTTTGGTGTTCCATCTGGCTAATAGGGACTCTCCAAAGTCCACACTGCATCAGAGCGGGCTAAGTGGTCCTCCAAGAGTTTATTACCAAAAGAGGAGTTGCTTTGAGTTTTCAGAGCTTGATTTTTGGATTTGCTGGACCAAATAACCCACTTTCTCTTTAAAAGAAAAAAGTTTGTCCTCCTAAATTTGGAGGTGGGATGGGTTAGGGCTAGTGTGGATGTTAAGGTGGGTAAGGAAGGAGTAACCTTGAGAAACTTGTATTGCAAACTCCCTTGGGGATTTCGAGTGGCACTACTGTTTTAAAAAGGGTTTTATTTTTAACTTCATCTGCTTTGTTAACATCCAGTCCAGTTGAGATGATGGAAGAGACTCCGTGTGAACACCTGGCACTGAGAAGAGAAGACCATCTTCCCTAAAGGGTTGAAAAGAAAATTGGTCTGGACAGCTTGTTGTCTTTTGTCTTTATGTAATAGTTTTGTTTTAAAGCGCTAATGTTTATTACAGTGTTAAGTAAAAGTGTAACATACTAAGTTTGTAGAATAAAAGTGCAATAACGAGAAATTACTTTGGCACAAACTTCAGTTCTAACGCGCTCTCCCTTCCTGTGCTGTCTCTCTTCATTTGTTACATTTCCACACTTATAGCAGGGCCGTGTTCATTGTGTATGTGTTTAAAAGATGCAACTATGGGTTAAGTCTTCATTTAGTGTATTTTTGAAGGTGTTTTTGGGTTTGGTTTTATAGAGTATTCTGTATACTTGTTGGGATGCACAAAATACCAGATGTGCTGTATAATAAAGATCACATTAACGTTTTAGGTTTGTGTGTGTTTGGCATTTGTTTCCCCTTACCGCACTCTGTTAACATGATGCTTCCTATTCTCTTCCCTGTCTTTCAGATGTCTTTCAGTTTGCCTTAGAGATTGATGGAACGTGTCACTCCCCTGTAGATTGCTCTTGGTTTTCAGATACTTAACATTGCCACTACTGGAGGGTGAGGCAAAGGAGTGGGAGGTGGGACAGCTGAGAAGCAGGGGCAAGGTATGATGATAACAGTTTATTTTCCTGGGTTCACACCCTTTTCTTCAGCTTCTTTTCAGAACAAACTTGCAGCATTCCGAGCTCATGCATGAGCCTAGCTATATCTTTATTACACTGTGAGAGAATCTGGAGATGGAATCTATACCAGTCTCTCTGCGTTGGGAATATTTGAATTTTGTATTTAGTCTCACTCCATTTTCAGATTTCCTTGTTAGGCTACTACTAGCAGAGTGACACTATCTGTAGTCACCCGGGGATGTCAGCAGCAATATGCCACCTTTTCCAGAAGAATATGTTTTGTTTTGGGTTACTGTAACATGCTTGTAAGGCTGTACCACTCTGCTATAAACTGCTTGCAATTTGACTGCAACACAAGTTTGGCCAGGAGATGGCAGCATACCTGAAACAGTTGATAAGTTTGTGAATAAGTCTTAAAGGAAAAGCTAAAGGTGAATCTCGGTGGTTCTCTGCCTGCCCCATACAAGTCATTTCATGCAGATGAGCCTTTTACACTTGTGAACTCTCCACTAACTCCAGCCATATTTACAGCTAAATATCTCCCATCATATATGCATAAACCCCATATTCTCCTAGTATAAAGTTCACCATGACTGAGTTCTCTTAACTCCTCTCTAACCATTATTACTTTGGAGAAAACAGCTTGTAATATACACATTTTTAGATTAGGCATGCTTTTCCAAGAACACGTCCCTCAGCAAGGCTTGTCACTTGAGTAGACCAACTGGAGTGGACTTCTGGTCCCATGTTGGGATGGTGCTCAAAGGGGAAGGCCCTACTAAACATTGTTAAGTTCAACTTTGAAATTTCTACCTTAATAGGATCCCAGGGAATCCATGAAGGGTTAATTGAATAGCCTTTCAAGGGCAGTTACCATGGGTGGCCATGCACTGGTAGGTCTCTCGGAGCCCTTCTGTGGATGGCCTGTTCCTTGGTATATTCTGAAGGTGGCATTTCAAATTAGTGGAAAAATAGACAATTTTATAAAACTGGCTATTCAACTTAGGGGAAAAAAAGACTCAAATAATGCAAAAAAAAAAAAAAAAAGGTATACTGAAGGTATAAAAGCTATAAAGGTCTTCTCTCAGCCTTAGCGCTGTTTTCTTAGAAACCGCCACACCATGAGAGCGAAGTGGAGGAAGAAGCAAAGGCACAGGCAGAAGAGCAAAAGAAGAAACATGAGGCAGAGGTCCAGGTAAACTGCTGGCTTGTGCACCCGTGGAAGCCGCAGCAGATACAAGGAAAGCCACAGGCCAGGGACGCTGGTACAAATTGTTGGACCGTATGCCTGCTATCTAAAATTTAATGGATCTAGGACATCATCACCATCTGACTGCTGCAACCACCTTTTGAGACCTACTTGCTCATACAAAAACAATGGTCCCTTATGGTCCTTTGCTCTGGACCTGTGATATTCTAGATTAATTCTGTTCTTAGTTGTGGCTGAATGTAAAGTGTACAATAAATCACCTCTTATACTGTCTTAGCTAAAGAAAAAAAATAATTATACATACATTGAATATGTACTATATACTAGGCACTATTCCAAATGCTTCACATATATTTCTCACTTAACCCTCACAAGAACCCATTTTACTGATGAGAAAATTAAGTACCAGGGTCATGCAACTGATAAATGCCAGAGCTGGGATTTGAATCTAAGAAGTCCAGCTCCAGAACCACTGGTTCTACAACAAACCAGGATACCATGCCGCCTCTGGGGAAAAATGTGTGTAAATGTGTTCATTCAAAAATGTGTGTAAAAAAGTTCATTGGAACTTTTTGGAGTGTGATCAGGAACCCAGAAGCCATAAAAAAAAAAAAAGTGATGGAAGTTATAAAGAACATATATACAGCCAAAGATACCAAAAGCAAAATTAAGACAAATCACTAATTTGAAGAGAATAATTGTAATATGTAACTGATAAGAGGTTCATATTGCTAATAAGTGAAGAAATCAAATTCTAAAAAGCAAAATGGCTATTAAATATTTGAAAAATATTTATCCTCATAGTAATCAGGGAAATGCATATGAAAACCAAAAAGATATTTCCATCTATCAGATTACAGAAAAATAAATAATAAAAACCTATTTATAACTGTGAGGGATGAGCATTTTCTATGTTGTTGGGAAGTGGACATAGCTGCAAAAGGACAGTTTGGCAATACCCATTATAAACATTTTAAGTGTCTATTTCTTTTGCTCCAGAAATTTCTAGGCAGTCCCCCCCTACAGAAATATTTGCACAGGTATGCAAAGCTAGATAAATATAAGGGTGTTTATTGCATCATTGTTTGTAATACTAAAAAAGTTGCAGGCAATGTTAATGTCTGACAACAAGAGAAGATTAAATTATAAAGCTTGCCATGGAATACTATACAGCCATTAAAAGGAATGGCAGGTCTCTATGTAGAAAGATTTATTTATACTATATCATTGGGAGAAAAAATAATTTATATAAGAATATATTTAATATGACCCCTTTTTTTGGTAAAAAATCCCTTTCATTCTCCATAACCACAAATTACCAAGATCTAGTCCATCTCTCTATGTATGCACATAAAAAACTGTGTAAGGATATATATCAAACTGATGATAGCAATATTCCTAGGGAGAGAACTTGCAACTTTTGGTTTATTGAATTTCCGTTATCGTATTGTGCATCTATTATGAACAACTATTTTTCTCATAATTTAAGAAAATGAATGAAATGGCTAATTTAGGGAAAAGGAAGTATATATTGGAAAGATATTAGGGGCTCACGAAATCAACAGGAAACTGAAAGATCGGGCTCACAGAATCAGTGGGTGGGAACCAAGGTAGATCTGTAGGCTACCACGAAGGCCTCACTATGGCTGTGAAGACCCATCTTCACTCCCTCGTAAGTTGGCCGCCAAGGAGAATTTTCTTGATAGGCCCAATATAGGTCCTAGGCCATCTCCTAGCTGTGTTGGTTCAGAACTGGAAGGCTCTACCCAACTCCAAATTCCATGGTAAAAGGCTGGAACCTAGATTTCCTTGCTTAGTAAAACTGCACTCAGTGGAGGAGATATAATTCCTAAAAGGTAATTCAAGAGCAGTTGGAAAAGGGACCTACATTCAGGACTGGCCTCAAATGAACAGATGTCCACTACAGTTCACTGCTTGGGCTGCACGACATCCACGTCCACCTTTTCTGGCTCTACTGGGAGGCGAGGTCATGAAAGTAGATATATAGATTGGAGCCAGTGCATGGGAAGGGGCACAAGTGGGTCTCTTGTAAGGACATTTTTAAATCCCTGGAGTTTTGTTTTGTTTTTTTTTCGTTTAAGAAGACCCACTTGGCTTCTATTTCTTTTCTTTTTCCTTGTTCTTTCAACATGGCCAATGAAGTGAATCATAAAGATGCTCAAACATCTAAAAATATGTTAAATCACAGCCTTTCTATGTGTAGAATCCAAGAGTTGAAAAGGTGAAGGGATGGGGAAATGCCAGGTGCAACATGAAGCCACAGGCTCTGAAAATAAGGGGAGCCTCCAGGTTTCAAGCTGTAACATGGAGAAATGCAGTTTCTTTGAGACCTTTTACTGAGCAGGATTTGCTTACGATTTTTAAAAGTTATTTACTATTTGATACCTGCAAAAAAGCATCTGTAACATCCTTACTGAAGAGGAATTTTCACTCAAAAGGCCAATCATCTCTTTGTTCTGCTTCTGTAGCTATGCTTGCTGCATAAGCCATGGGGCGGGTGACCTCAAAATTAACTAAAGACTCATCCTCCCTTTTGCTTGTTCTGTCTAAATAACTAATGTAACTGCCTGTACCCCCACAGAAAACCCTGCACTTTGTAACCCTCTGAGGACAAATTAACCAATCAGCCCATGCCAAATGAGCCCTATTTAAGCAAAATTGTAACTGAGCTCCCAGCCACATCTTCAGAACACTAGCCCCTCTGGGACTGCTGGGGAGTTCTCCAACTCTCTGAGTGCTGCTTGGTCTGATTTTTGCAACATTATAAGCTATAAAACATCGCATATATATTTAATATTACCGTGGTTTTGAAGCCCCTGTGTGCTCAGCCTAGATGCCAGCCCTCTTCCTCTTTCCCACCCCAAGGTTACTGTTGTGTTTATCGTTCTCCTGCTTTAAAAAAGTTTATTTCTTTTTACTCATTATGTCTCTGACTTTTATCCAACCTAATTTTTCATCACTGTAGTACATTTGCTTTCTCTGCGGTGTACTATTCTAATGTGTGAACGTACTGCAATTTAGCCATTCTCTTTTTTCTCAGGGAACCAACTTTCGGTTTGGCTGTTTCTCGTTGTACTTCTGTTTTCTATTTCATTAATTTCTGTTCTTAATTATTTTCTTTGCTCTCTTTTTTAGGGCTATTCCACTGTCCATTCTCTCCACGACCACCATCTTCTTAAGTTGAATGCTTAGCTCATGTATTTTCAATCTTTCTTCTTTTCTAACATAAATATTTAAGGTCAGAATTTCCCTTTAAATAAAACTGCATCCTGTAAGTTTTAAATATGTTACATTTTTGTTATTGTTGTTTTGTTTTCTAATTGCCATTGTGATTTCTTCTTTGTTCTGAGTTTTACACAGTTATGTTTTTAAATTTCCAACCAGGAGGATAAATTTCTTTATGTTTTGGTTAATGATTTATAACAATTACGCTGTGGGCAGAGAACATGGTCTCTGTTTGATGCCAATTGTTAAAAATCTGTTGGAACTTGCTTTATGGGCTAGCTCCGGTGAATTTTTATGTATTAT